GCGCGGGACTGGTGTGTGGCGTCATCGCGCGGGCGGGCGGAGCGCCACTGCCACAGGGTGGGCGAGGCCGGCGTGGGTGTCACCCCACAGGCCTGGCTGAGAGCCCCTGAGGCGGGTGGGGCGGGGCCTTGTGGCGTCATCGCGCGGGCGGGCGGAGCGCCGATGAGGCGAGGGGGGCGGGTCCTGCGTGGGCGTCCACACGTGGGGCGGGGCGCCCATAAGGCGAATGTGGGCGGGGAGTGAGTGGACGTCACGGCGCGGAACTCACTGGCCGCGGGGGTTGGGGCGGCTGGCGAAGGGTCGGGTCCTGGGGCTGGACCCCCGGGCGGTGAGGGCTCAGCTCGCCCCGTCACCTGGGTCGCGGTTCGTGCAGGGCTGCTGTGGAATGAGAAGTACAAGCTCCTGAGTTTGCGCTACACTTGCTAAGTTTTAGGGTGTCACTGTTAAAGGCACTTCCAAGCTGTTAGAAAATCCGAGTGGTTCTGTGGACCCCCGGCTGTGCTGAGAGCCCACAGCGTGCAGACGTTTTACTGATGGAACTCTCTCAGCGGTCCCGGAGGCGTGAGGAGCGTGCGGGATAAGCCTCTGTGTGCGCGTGGGAGAGGAACTGTCCTCGCCCGGCGGGACAGCGGGGACCCAGCGCCCGCTCACTAAGCAGGATGCTGTCCGTGCCCGAGAGCTTCTGCCGCGGGCGATTTCTGAATCGCTTCTAGAAGCACAGACAGCTCTTGATCGCTTTGCTTTCCACTAAACTCAGGGTAATTATATTTATTTTGTAGTCTTCTTAAAGCCAAACAGTTGCAGAGGACAGCCTAGGGAAGTTTTTTAAGCATATTAAGTGAGTTCCAAGGATATTTTAAATCAGTTTGTAACAATAGGGCTAGTTTTTTCCCCTCTCTTGCTCTTCAAATCTTTGTTACTGGGAGCCTTGCGTGATCATCTTTAGGAGGGGCAGGGGCTACTGGAGAGAAATGTAGCAGCTTACATGTTTTTAAGTTCTTGGTGGATGTGTTCATGTCACATGGGCCCTTCCCTGCTATATTGTAGGGATTCTGGAATAACGATAACTGTGCAGTAGTTGCAGGGGCAAAGACTGCCATTTTCAGGACAAAACAGTGATATCCCACAGACCATCTTGCCGTGCAGACAGGAGAGTGAAAGGCTGAAAGATGAAGAGGACCACCATCTGAAGAGAACTGCAGTCACAGCCCTGTTAGACGCAGTGAGTGAAGACTTGCTGTTCCCATGAACTTTGGGGGCAGTGGGAAGGCAAGCATCTGCGTGCATTGGTAACTTTGCCAGAGTCTCATTAATCATTCAACTAGGCTTGAAGTCTATGAGGGCAAGAACTGTATTATGTGTATCATCATATCTTCATGGTAGCACAGTGCCTGGCACAGCAGGTACTGAATGAATAAAGGATACCTCCCCTCACCTCATCTGTGAGTCTGTATGTAATTATGTATGCATATATGTGTGTGTGGCTATGGAGATATATATATATAAATATATAATCTCATAAACATTGTTCCAGGGGCTAGAACACTCAACTTTGGGCAAGGGCGCTAAACCACAAGCAAGCAAAGGAATGGTTTTCCTACCCCCAAATTACATTATGTGAGTTGCAAATATGTAAAATGGTGAGTCTTACCCCTTTTCCTACGCAACAGCTTAAAGCTCTAATGCCACCTTTCACTCAAGACCAAGTTACAACCTCAAAACAAGTAGCTGCCTTGTTAACACAGGAAGGAGCATGAGACTTTCTGTCTTGCAGTCTTTCCTCTAAAAAGCTGTAGAATCACATCCTATAAATAAAGAGTTGGGTGAATATGAGCCACACAAGAAATCCTGCATATCTGTGATAAAGCATTTGACCTGGGCGGTCTAGGGATGTAAAATACACTGAAGAGACAGACCCATGCTGTGCACCAATCAGCCTCCAGCCTCTGCTGCCTTTGTGACCCCACTGAACTTCTGGCCACTTCCCAGCAAGGCAGAACCCATCTCATTCTTTGCTGGGTCTAATGGCAGGCCCGGCCTAGTTCTTAGGTTTTTGCTAACACTTTACTCTCTACCTCAGTCTCCTGTGACCTCTTCATGTTACCTCTTTCCTTACCTTCTCTGCAGACAAGTCTCCAGTGAAAGGCACTGCTTTCTCAGAGGAAAGAAGAGCATCACTGTGAGTGTTCCAGTGCAGAACTGTAAAGGTTCAGCCTCTGCGCTCCCCCTTTCTAGTTTCAGAGAAAAGCGCTGCCTTCAGTTTAAGTTCAATCCGTTCTGCTTTGTTTTAGATCCCCTCCTGCCTAGGACTGGGCCTTATCAACCCTTCGTCCACCTCTTCCCCTCTCCCTGTCCTAGCTCCTTCCCCAGCACCTCTACGTGGGCTTCAGTGCAGAGGGGAGGGGCACAGTCTGCCTCCCTTCCTTTCATGCTACTGTCGACTGAAAAAAATGCACAAAGTGAGAGTTGTGTGTTAAGTTTTATTTGGGGCAAAATGAGGACCATAGCCCAGGAGACAGCCTCTCAGATTGTTCTGAGGAACTGCTGCAAACAGCGGGCCAGGGTGGGGACGGAGGGTTGTTCAGTATATGTGTGATTTTGGTGAAGGAGGTATACACAATCGAGCACACATTTTGGCAGAAGGTGGCTGCTCATGACGAGGAGCAGATGTCTCTGTTAATGATTTTAGTGCTTTTCTAGTTATGAGAAGATGCAAGAAATTGGGTTCATAACATGGTCTCCCGAAAATATCTAACTATCTGAAGACCTGTTCTGCCAGTTTTTGCAGAGCACAAAGGGCCTCATTCCTGATCTCTGCCCTGAACTCCTTTCAGGGGGTGTGGAAGGCCAGCGACTGCAGTGGTTGGTGACCTCATCTTTGTAGAGGCAGATGGCGAGACACAAATTTTAGTTGGCACTACCAACGAATCTCATTTGTCCCAGACTCATCAAGACTCCTGTTCCTTTCTCTCAGATGCTTCTTTGGTGACACAATCACACATTCTTTACCTGAGCCACCCGAGTGGGTCTCTTTGCTGTGCAACTAGAGGAATCAGGAAAAGCTTGGTCCTTGCTTGCTTGCCCAGATTACTACAACATTTTCTTAATTGATTGGTCTCTCCCTAGAGACCTTTGCTCCCCAGCACGGAGGAGACAGTGTTAGGCCTAGTACTGG